TATTGTCTTCATTTTTCTTTTTACTAATTACTAATTACTTTTTTCTGAAATGTGCTTCAATTAATGATCTGCTGTTATGCGCAAATCTCTGGCATATAACGTTTCAAAGGGAGTTTTAATTGTAATAAAAAAAAAAAGAAAAACGAGAATAGTCAATTTACTTTGCAATGAAATAAAAGATAGAATATATCGTTGGTCATTGTTCTCTGAAACGTGTTTTCTCGTTCGAAAAATTGCGATTGCCCGCCGTGAACGTAGAAATCGTGCTTAACGAGACGAAAGAAAAAGAAAAGGATATACCACTGCAATAATAAAGCCTCGAATTAATCTGCGGCGTATCCGAAACAAAAATGCATCTCTTGCAAGCCGCAAATTGCGGTCGGATGCATTTCGCGTTGACTTACACTTCTCATAAATCACCCCCGGAATGCATTCAAGATACGCGCTGTCGCGTTATCTTGGCTTTTTTTATAGTTTTATCTATTGTCCGTCTGAAAGAAATTAACTTAAAAACAAGTATTTTAATATAATACGACGATAATATTTTCGAATCTAACAATATTGGGAGGAAATTAATTAAGGAAATTGCTCCGCTCGAACTTGGGATATTTGCATAAAGTTAACAGTTTCTTTCTCTACGGTATAAATTTTATTATCTTTTCCAGAGATAAGTTTCGTCCCAGAAGAAAATTTTGTTATTGTCTGTACAATTGACTTTCCATTTTGCAATACAACTTTACTCTTGGACGAATAATTTTATTCCAGAATAAAAAGTGGAAGGAAAGAGAGGGCAAATTTACAGAGGGAGCAACTTTAACTTTCTAAAAATACTTGAGATACATAACACATAAAAATACTTGAAGAAAACTATATAATACTCGCGGTTTAGAAAGAGAGAAAGAAAAAGGAAAACAATGTAAAAGTTTTCTGATATAGAAACGTCGTTTCGGTTCGTATATATATATAAATTATCGTTCCAATACTATCACGTGAAAAACGTTTTATTCGAGAAAAAGAGTGGCTTTACGAAAAGGCGAAATGTCATTTACGATGGCATCGCAATACAGTTCAAGGAAAACAGAATTAAAAAAAATCGAGGGCAAAAATGTGACCCAAGGAGTTACTTGAGTCCTTGAATGAGCATACCAGACAAGAAGAGTCTGTTTGAATATTTTCTATACGGAACGAAGAAATATTGTGTGTTTTGCTCTCGAATCTCGTGCCGATGTCCCAATAAAAGAAACTAAGAAAGGAACACGGTGTGATTGACGGCATATTTTGTATGAGAAATATGCATGAGTTCACATGTTAGCCTAAAAAAAAAAAAAAAACGCGTTTAGTCTAAAAAAGAAAAAACAACAAATTTCAGCGATCAAATTAATCCTGAATACTGAACATTTTTTTTTCCTCGTATAAGCAAAATATGAGAAACGTATCCAAAACAAATAGTTAATGTACAAGTATATAATATACAAATAGTTAATATAATAAATCTAGAAATATAATATTTAATTGTCACTAATGTGAGAGAATATTAGACACACAGTAGCGATGAAAAATGACAATATGGTATATTTATTTAATAGCTATTTAATAGAGCTCTTTTTTCTGTAAATTAATTAGCACGTACGTTATACAATAATTCAAGCACCTTAATTACACGCGCGGTGTGCGACGGACGCTCGATTACTGCGAATTAATTTTGGCATCCCGCACATCCCGCATGTTGTTTCATACGAAGTGCGAATTATGTGCATTTCTGTTTGGGCACGCAAATATCGCTGTTACGCAACATTATCAAAGAGGTGGCCAGCCATCTCGGCGTTCCTAGACGTCTACACGTGCCAAGACTGAAAAGCAGAAGAGAGTGGATATTTGTTCGGTTCCTCCGTTGTGAGAAATACCGACTCGGCAAAACTTTCTCGCGTTCGACGACGCGCGTATAAGGAAGGAGGGAAGAGTTTAAAAATAAATTGATCAACGGGTATTTCGTCGACCACCCGGCGGGATAGATCAGTCGAAGTAAATTAGTTTTTGTCTTTAAGTGACACACGCGAATCGCAGCGGAGTAATTTACAGCTAGGTATTTATTTGAACCCCCCATGGTGAATTCCGCAGTTAAGACGTGATCCGAACATTGAAGAGACAAGAAACATTCGTGTAGCAAGCAATATCCGCAAGATTGATCTCCGTGCTTCCAATTTGCTCTACATGTCAAAAGAAATTTATAGCACTTTCCATACATTAAGCGAATCGCGTAAAGATTGCACACGTGAAATTTCGTTCTTACGAAGGGAAAAAGTTCCCTTTTCCTTAGGGGAGAAAGAGAGAGAAAGAGAAAGAAAGATCTCTCAATACATTACAGTCGCATTAAAGGGAATTTTACAGTGTAAAATTATTCTTAAATATTAATTAAAACATGATCAAAAATATCTTATAATACATTAATGTGTTAAAAAAATACAGATATATTAATTATATATTATTTATATCTATATACAAAATGATGTGAAAAGATTGTCTCAAACAAGTATATTAAATACATCAAAAATGAAAGAGAAATATAAACTTTTTGTATACCAACTATAAAACTTCGTTATCTCTTTTATATTGCAATAAAACAATTATTGTTATATTATAATATTAATTAAATGAGAATTAGATAAGAAGATAACTATCTAAAATTAATTCTTTTTTACGCAGCTATAAATGTACCGATATACTCAAGAAAAAGCTTTTCCGTTTAAATTTTTAGAGGCTAAAAATCGCAAAGACAGTCATAGCCATTTTTTATTGTCAGCCTGCAAAGCAAACGGCGGGACAATATCGCAAATTGAAACAGAGATGATCGGAAATGCGGAAAACCGTAACTACGCACAAGATTGGTCGTGTGGAAATTGAGTGAGCATACCGCAATTGATGATGCAGTTGCGTCGCGAATACGCATCCATAGGATCACTTGGAACGGACGTGAACGTCGCCAATGCGATCAACCGTTTTGATACAATCGGTATTGCACCTTTATGCCTGGATCTGGACGCGTGTATGTATCTGCGATATGCACACAAGCGCAAATATACAGCTGCGTCGCGAAACACGTAATCGCACCCTTATCGAATCCGTCACAGTCGTCGTAAATGAGATTTCTACTCATTTACCTACCCTTGAGATTGTAAGACGTACAATGTAATAAATTAATACAAAACAAGTAGATAAAAGGAATGTTTCATTACACCATCAACTGCTGCGCTATGCGATTGCGTTACGATCGTTGGTCTCAGAATGTGTGAATTTTTATTTACATGGCGATTGTTCGAACGATCAGTTCGTAAGCAGCTTCATCTACTTTTATTTTCAATCCACCATATAATTCGAATATTTGTGCAGTACGAATACAACGTCTGTTTTATTTGTACTTTGAATATTTAACTTTTAAATATAACTGTTATAGAATATAATTTAAACATTTTGTAATAAGCGAATATAAGGGAAAAAAAATCATTACTTTTTGTAATTATACATTAATCAACGGTAAAGCGATTTATGCATTGTTAATCTGTTCGATAATATTTGATACTCACATTTTGTTCTCTTGCCTTGGAAGCAGTCGAAAGTTACTGACTAAATCTAGATCTACAAGCTAATCTGTAAATAAGTAAAATATCAAGATATAAACAATACATAACTCAAAGAATTTATATCTTCTTATCTCAAATAAAAATTATTTTACTATATATTGACTTTATACATGGCCCAGTTAAACGCATTTTAAATAAAGATTCACACATACCGATTTTATACGTAATCCAATTAAATGCAAATCCTGCAAAATCTCCCGAACGAAGAATTACGAGAATTGCCCAATCCGATTACTATTATTATTCACCAATATCTCGCAGTATACAAAATGTATGTCTTTTCAGCTTTAAATTGACGAACTCACACGACTTACTCGGTCGAGATTTCCAATACACACTGATCGTGAGAAACCTTTAACAATATTCCGTGTCTATATCCTATAACATGCGCTATCTACACAGCTTGATAGACGCGACCGTGTCTGTTTGCAAACAAGACCGATGCCCACGAAAGCTCAGATGTAAACGTTGTGGCAAACAATTAATAATTATATCACCACACTATTTATCTGCTATTATAGTCGGTGAAATGATAGTAATGATAAACTCGTACTCGTTGAAATCAACTTTTAAATCATAGTAATAATAATAAAACCTTTAAAATTTGTGATAAAAAGAGGCAGTAAGAAATTTCTGTATATATAAAATAATATTGAAAATCTATAAATCTGCTCATATTTAATTGCTTATATTATTGCAATCAAAAAAGTAAAAAGAATCCTTTAAGAGTCAACACAGTTGTAAGTGTACAAATACATATATTTTATTATAAAAGATAAATATACATTTCGATTCTAATTTTTGGATCCTCTTCAGTATCTTATAATATTTGCATAAAATAACAATCATAAAAATTGTCAAAAATATCGATGTAAAAAATATAATATAATCAAATGTTAACTAGTTTTTTTCATATTCACAGCATAATAAAGTTAATGGTTGTTCATTAAATTCCAATAAACTAAACAATATAATAAACAAATACAGCATACTATTGTTATAAAAATTAATTGTAATAAAATATATACTAAAGAGTATTATTATCTTATACTGAAAAGGATCCAAATTAGAATCGAAACATATATTTGTCTTTTATAATAAAGAAATATATGTATTTATACACAACCTGTATTAGCTCTTAAAGACTTTTTTTTAATTTTTTTATTTATTCATTTATCTGAATTATTTGATTGTAATCCTTGCTTATTATAATTTTACAATATTAGGTGCGTATATTTCTTCGTTATTTCATTAATGATTCAATTAATATTTACTTCTTTTAATACGCTTTTAATAGAAAATTATGTAGAAAACGCAATTACGCTTTTTAAAAATATATAACTTATATTTTCTCCTTTTCAGTTTGCAGATTACCACCATTCAAGTTACTGCGACAGAAGTTTCGAATGGCAAAGCGGCTCGCGGTTCGTCGTAACACAGCGATACATCGTAAAAGCATCTACGCGGAACTCTCTACGCGGAGACGACTAAACCGACCCGATTCTTCCCACGAAACACGATCGAGAATAATATAGAACAAAATAAATCGGGCATAAGATCGACGTTATGATATCCGAATACACTTTAATATCAAAGACGAGAGGTCAACTTGTCAAGTCGACATTTGATAACAAAGGTAAAAGTTACTTCCTTCTTTTTTTTTTGCAATAAAACATCTCACGGTCTTTTACGAAGAAAACTTTAGTGATTTTAAGTTTTTAGACACGGGTCACTTGAGACGAACGAACTCTTTATCCCGACTTTTTCCTAACAAAAATTAAATTAGTCGGAAGGCACGATAATGAATGCATATATAGATAATGAAGCTTTTGAACGTATACACGAAATGAGAAATAAATCTTAAAAGTCAAAAATTAAAATTTGTATTAGCGTAACTTTAAATCTACATTCTTTTAATATAAAAAACTTTAAAAATCTAAGGAACGTATTTTCTTTTTGGAGATGTATATTTTATATACCAAATAATTTTTAATTGATAGATCTTTTAATAATAGCACTTTATCTATTAACTTACAATATTAATTTGGTATTATTAATAATAATTATTAATAGTATCAAAAATGACAAAAGCAACATTAATTAAGGCCCAAGTTAATTTTTGTGACATTTCTAATAACAAACAAATAATTAAGTCGAAAATTACACAAATAATTTACAGTTAATAAATTCAAAGAGCACGAAGATTCAATCAGAATTGAAGAAGCAAAAGGAAAGGCTAGACAAACTGAGAACACAGAGCTTGCGAGAATAAAGATGGTAACGTGAAGTGACGAGGTTGAAGGGTAATGCAAAATCAGGAAGTGATAAAAATTGCTGAACGATGGAAATAAGTTCAATAATGACAACGACGGCCGCTTCTCGTTATTACGATGGTAAATTTATGCAAAACTTCAGCAACTACAACAATGAAGGACCGTTCGAATGTGGACAGGAGGTCAATACCAACGGCCTAGCTGACTTCATTATTTATGGTATATTCGTCAACCTGATTGGTCTTTTCGGAATCTTCGGCAACACGATCTCAATGATCATCTTGTCGCGGCCGCAGATGAAATCTTCTATCAATTATCTACTGATTGGATTGGCTAGATGTGACACAGTACTGATCATCATTGCGGTAAGTGCATCTCTCTTATAGTTTACGTCCTATACTTTTTACGCGAGAGAAATAAATATCTTTAAGATTTAAAGACAGAAAGCAGTCAGGATAAGAATTGCGCAATAGCGTAAAAAGCGTATTTTAAAATGTCAACGATAAGTAAAATATAATTTAGTTTTTAAAGAGATAGCGAATGCAATTAAAGAAATGCAGAAAATTGTGGTTTGCTTGTATAACGCTTTATTTCTTGACACTTTGAAGAAATTAGAAGTTACGTAAAGGAAGACATGCTGATGACTTCGTTTAACTTTGTGAACATTTTTATGAATTTATACGCAGAGTTAAATATTACATGGTAGAATTATTGTGAATTATGAATTTAATGTAGAATTAAATATTATTATATATGGTAGAATTATTGTGCAGGATCGTAAAAGTGGAATATTGCACGTTTAACATAAAAAAAAAAACGGTCAAAGTTAACAGCCACTTGAGTGAACTGGTCGAGCTACTTTTCATCCTTATTACGAAGAAATAATACGAAAAGAGTTTTTATTATACCAAAATTAATGTTGGCTTTAAAAGCTTTTAAAAGATATTTTTTTATTTAACAAAATAATGAATTTTATATTAAATTTATTTACATTTTTTATACAGAATATAATCTTTTACATATTAGTCTAAACAATTATATATTTAAAAAGTACTGATCATTTTGATAAAGAGATAACAGACTATTAAAATATCTTTTACTTTAATTTAAATATCTTTCACTTATCGTATAATATCAGAATAGATTTATTTATATTACAGTTAATAACGCGATAAATATTTTATACGTTTACCTACGCGATCTACATACTTATTATTTATTACATTTAACTAACAATAGCATTAGATGTACATAAATATTTTTATTCATTGGAGTATCCTGGGAAGGGAAGGTCCAACCTCTTTTCCCTGAAATTTGTGGTTAAAAAAAAGTTATGATTGACGAAACCTAATATTTTTCCCATTCAAAATCAGAAACAAGAAGGAAACATTCCAAACTCTAAAATATTTAAAAAAAAAACTAATTAACGCAAAAGATTGTTGTTTGTGTGATAACAGAATTGACAGAGACTCTCTCTTTCAGAAAAGATCTTGGATGTGCTCATACATCTATTGTACATTTACTTTTTTTTTTTGTGAAACTTAAAGATGCGATTTTTCTCATGACCCCAATTGCGACGTGTGATGAATCACAATGCGTCGAACGGAAAATCAATATTTAATTGGCACACATGACCAGAAACGATTTTCAATGGGATCGTGAAACGTCTCGTAATTGCCACCGAATGACCCAGCGTTTACCGTCGTCGCGTCTGGCCGCTGCCAATCAATCATGCGCACCAGATAACATTAAAAAAAAAAAAACATTCCATCGTTCGCAACGTTCCTGAACCATTGAGTTGCATGTCGAAGAGCTTATCGTGACGCCTTGTTACTCTTATCTTTTATTAACAATAGCTTTCGAAACAACCGAGTTCGCTCATGTTGAAAGTGATACGAGTTAACGTTTGAGAGACAACATATTTAATCCTCTTTGTCGAATATACTGGATATTTTCAGAGAACCATCGCAAACATGCGATGACGAAACGTAAAAAAAAAACGTTGTTTGTTAAACCTATTTCGGTGTTACGCATTAGTAAGTTTGAAATTCTGAATAAAAGGGTCTTCCATGAATTAGCTATACATATCATTGCATAATTTTAT